TCCGTTCGACCGGAGACGTGTCATTTTGAGGAAATGCAAAGCCAATGTGTAGAAATCTGCGCCAACACTAATGGCGAGTGCAGATTGTACCGGACTATTTCCATCATCTGCAGCTACCTGCTACCCTGCTGACACTTGGCCACCACGACCATGCGCACCAAAAACTTCGCAGCGATCGCTGACCTTCTGCTACAGGTTTGGAGTTCGACGACAAGGTCGGCTGCTGCTAGCCGATGACATGGGCTTGGGGAAGACAGCTGCTGGCTGGAATTGCTGCGTCTCTATGTGCCCGAAGTCCTTTGCCTGGACCTGCTTAACCAAACACCCTTGAAATGGTATTGCGAGTTGTGTGCAAGGCTCTACTTGGGGAGTCGTATCTGTACCAGATGGCGTGTAGTTTGTGTATGGTCTGTCACGCTCAAGCCCCATGCAGCATGATAACAGCAACTCACAGTCCCATAACTTGCAGAGCAGAGCGTAGGAGGGTCTCTGAATACGCAACAAAAGATTGAATGACAGGGGTTGACAACTCGAACACACCTGATCTTGAGCCCTTAGTGCACCTGCCAAGGTCCAGGCCATCGGCATCGTAACGGAGTTCCAGCAGCAGGAGAAAAGCCCAGTGCTCGTAGTGGCCCCATCCTCACTCCGAGGAGCACCGTGGCCTTGTGGGCAGTCCTTCTTATGTGGTCACTGTAGAAGGAAGTTGAGCCGGCTATCGTGATGTGTGCTGAAGACTGAATGTACACAGCCGCTGCTTTGAGAACCTTTCAATTTTGCAGCAGGTGCCTTCAATTTTTACTTGAGTGGTCTGACGCGCACACTCTACAATGTGGTAATGTTCTGTTCGCAAGGGCGCTTGTGGACATGAGCATGCCAGCAATGGGGTGCAGATATGTAGGCTTCAGTGACTTGTTTCTGAGAGCTGTTTCTGTTCCCTGCGCAGCCACCTTTCGAGCTTTGAGACTCATTTGGGTTGTTGTTTGGCTTCCATCCGCCCAGAGCCCACAAGGTATGGTTGGAGCAGCTACGCCGCTGGGCTGGTGTTGATGCAACGAAGGTGCTCAGCGACAAGGGCTGGAGGGTTCTTGACATGAGCCTCAGGCACGCTTTAACGCGATTTTCAGCCAGTTCTGTAGGCTTTCAGGTCTAAATCAGTTTCTGGCCTGTAAGCAATAAGCTAAGAAATCTAGTATAGGTGAGCAACAAAACATGGTGTTATGCACAGGTCTGGAAGCCTTCTGGCCATCCGCAGGAAGCATTATAAGCAAGACCTGGAACCAATACCATGACATCTGGAAAGCCTGAATTGTGGAATGTTGTGGAACTATAGCAATTACTCACAGCGGTCGAACTGTGATGTTGACGGCTTTTTTCGAGACGTGTGGAACTCTGATTTACACATAATTCGCGCTAACTCTACACAATCGTCATATTGCAGTAGCTAGCTGTGTGGCTATCTGGGCAGTGATGTTAACTACATTTTGTAGATTATTAATCATGAAAGTATTGCACCAGCCGTGATGCTCAAGAAGCAGATTCCAATTTGTCATTGGGGCGACAGCCTGGAACACCCGCAGGTGCAGGTCATCTATGCGGGCAGCACACCTATCGACCCTGAAGCAGAGTGGGTCGTCGTTTCCTACGCCCTGTTGGTGAGGCATCTCCGGCCTGGCGGTTAACGGTTAGGTTGTGGGTTAAGCCTTCACTCAGTTGCAGGTCAAGAACAGTTCAATTTTGCATGACCATAAATCTGGACCAGAATTCATGCAGAGAGGTGGAGGCGGAGGATAATGCAAGCAATCGTAAGTTTTCTTTTTTCTGAAAGCTGAAACTCGCAGGTCACCTGCTCTATTGCGAAATGCCCGTGGGCAGCCTTACAAGACAGTCGTCTGTGACGAGCGCCCTATTTCATTGCTTGGGGTTGGGTCATGCGTGTCAGCTTTTGTCTTGGCCAAGCATGGCTAGCGCCAAGTCTTCCAAAGGTGCCACTATGTCAAGAATCCCGAAGCGAAGCGGTCGCGTGCGGTGTACACCGTTGCAGAGGACATTGCTACATTTCACTCGCAGAACGGACGCTGAAGCCGTTGCGCATTCATGTGACATGGGGAACCTATCGTTTCTGGGCATTCTGTTTTTGGGCCCTCTCTGATTTGCGGCGCGATGGGCCTTGGTTCCATAGGCCATAAAGGAAGGACGGAAAAGCTGGTGTGGACTAGGAGAAGAGATAGAGAAACCAAGAAAGATAGTGACAAAGAGCACGAGACATAGAAATCCTGGGGCCATGGGGTGCAACCCCAACGGGCACCTCTGGTGCTCGTGCGTCCCTGGAGAAGAAGAAAGAAAGAAACACGTGTTATGTGTGACCCATTGGGTAAGGCCCTTGCGTGTTGACAAAGCCCAACACGGGCATCAGGGTGATCCCTGCAGCGGGTCAGCTGACCCCCCTCAATGCTCGAAAGAAAGAAAAAGCATCGAAAGAAAGAGAGAAAGAAAGCCAGAAGGAAAGACAGACTGACAGAGAGAAAGAAAGAAAGACATCAAGAAAGCGTAGCAATCATAGTCATCGTCGTGCCAAAGAAAGCAGCACAGTTACTTCGCTATTATGATCATTATTGCGCACCATTATCATTATTTTTGATGTCTTTCATCGTATGTAATGTCATCAAAATTCATCATAATTTTCACTCTTCAAGGATTTCCATCATGTTTATGATTATTCATATATCATGTTTCCATCATAGTTCGTGATGTTTCACCATCATTTTTCATCGCTTTTATAATCTTTCCTGCTTCATGGATGTTTTGCAATTTTTCAACAGCTTAGACCATGTTATATCCCCCTCCATCGACTTGTATGCTATTCCATCAGTTTCCCATGATTCCAACATCTTTCATTGTTTCTCATGTTTTCATTTTCTTTCATCATTTGTCATCCTTTTCGTCATATATTTCATCATCATCATCATCATCATCACGTTTCGTGATAGTTCAAGACTTTCCATCATTCTGATCACTGCCCAACGCCACTCCCCACATCCTGACCGCTCCTCCCCGCCCACAATAAGAAAAAACAGGAGGTTCATATGACATGGCCAGTGCGGCTAGTTGGATTCACGAATTCAGATGCCAGCAGCCCCTGCAAAGTCTCTAAGCCAATATCCAGGATGCCACCTTCCTGGTTCTCATCAGCGGTACGCCGGTGCTGAACTCCGCCATGGAGTTGCTGCTCGCTCGATCTGGTTTCTGGTGGCCTTAGCAGCCCTCACGTTTCAGTATTGAGCGTTGCAGAGACCGTTTACAGGACTCGATGCAAGGCCTTGGGGCGCTTCTGACTATCCCACAGCTTTTTCCAGTTCAGTTCATGAGCCCAATGAGCCTGAGAAGACACGAAAGGTATCCACTGCTGAGATTACTGGACAGTCGCTTACCGGACGAAGGCACCTTTGGACAGCGCTACTTCAGGCAACGGCTGTTGCACAATTTCCACACTGCGAATACTGCGCCATGCATAACATGTGAAGCTTGATCAGAGGTCGAAGTGCAACGACTTCGGGAAGAGCAAGTGGGTGGGACCGCAGAGAGAGCTTGAGCTGCACACGTACCTCTTCCACAAGATCGGCATCCGGCGCAAGAAGGACCAGCTCTGTTAGGTATGCGGATCGCAGCCAGCTTGTTGTTTGAACCGCATTGTCAGGAGGACGTGTTGAAGCAGTTGCCGCCCAAGCGGCGACAAAGCATTCTTCTCCGAGAGTCAAACTGCGATCTCAGCTGGAAGGACGGGCCTTCTTGAACAGCCGCAGCCTGCAGCTTGGGGACATGCTAGCAGTCTGAGCTTGCATCAAGCTATGTCGTGTCATGCTCCGCCTCATTTGCTCGAAGGCCGTCATCAGGCCTGACCCTGAATCCCTAGAAGGTAGCTGAGGTAGCCTCCATCCGGGACACGCTTGGTAGTGAGACCTGCAACCCCAAACTGGACAAGCTGAACCCTACGTCCTGAATCTTGATGTTGGACCCTGCAAGTTATGAATCATCAAACCAGACTGAGTTTCCAGAGGAGCTGATGGCCCTGGAGGAGCGCCTCTTCAACAGCAGCGACGCTGGGCAGAGCTAAGGGTTAGGAGGGCTCTATGGATTTCTATTCCTTGCAGGAGGGTTTACGGCACTACGGGCTGGTGCTAGCTTCGTGGGGCCTTCTCACTTGTATCATCTAACGGTTTTGTGTGGGACATTGACAAAGTGCCTGCAGTGTCTGAAATTTCAATGCTGCAAGGTGTTGGTTTTAGTGAGGAGGGATGTCCGTGGCCCGTACCCAAACACAGCTAAGTATCGTTGAGTTTCGGCTTCTGAAGCTGGTCCCAGAACTGTGGATTTCAATTTGCACAAAATGCTTCGGAAAGGACAAGGGCCAGGACGAAGTCTCCCGGGAGGATATCCAGCACGCATTGCACTTGGTCATGAAGGCCAAGATGAGGCTCCACCGGTCAGAGTGCATGTAGGCAGAGAGATGATTGTAGTGCTTCGTGACTTTCAGAGCAGGTGTTTGCAGGCTTGGGAGGTTGAAGAGCTCGTTTGTTTCAGATAGCTTGGCAGAAGCAACTTTTTTCTCATCGGGGACAGGCTGGAGGGAGAAGCATGTACATCTGAAAGAAAGGCATCTCATAGACATTCAGGTGCTGTCATCCGAATAGCAACCCAATTTTTCCCGGAGCCGGGCTTTGGCAGCTGTAGCGCAGTTCACGTGACTTATTGGTCGCAATGCCTCCCTGTTGAAGGTGCTGCTGCGAGTACGTCAAGGACCTGATCAACAACGGCATCGGCAAATTTCTGCTGTTTGCTCACCATCGAGCGCTGCTTGATGGAGACTGGTGGCGGAATGTGACAGGTTCAGGGCAAGGGAGGTGGGCAGAAGCGAGATGTCAGCAGATCGCATAGGACCTAAGTTGTGTGAAGCGCTTAGCAGTCTAAATCGGATGTCCAACATCTGGCCCTTGCCCAGGATGATGGATGTGCTGGAGTCAACCCTGCAAGACCGCTTGCAAGGCACGGCTCAAAAAGTACAGCTTCGCAACGCTTCGCAACTTGTAGTTATAAAGCCTTAACGTGTATCGCCCAGCTGTCTTTTGCAGCTCAGTGTTTGCAGGACATTAGGGTTTGCATCAGGCATTGCTGGCAATCAACTGAACCTAAAACTTCTGGGGTGGAGCTTCAGGTTGAGGACTGAGGCTGCTTCCCGGGGGCCTTCTTCATCCCATGCCCAGGCGGCTATATCCGCATTGATGGGAGCACCAACCAGAAGGCTACTCGACCAGGGGCCAGAGACCGGCAACGCTACACTGCAAGTGCTTGCAAGCCAAAGCTAAAGTTTGACACTGACCTTGAGGTAGTTCAAAGTGGCTTGAGAGAGCAGCCCATTAGCTCGAGGAGCGGCCTGAGTTGGTGGAGCAGTTTCAACGAGACGAGGAGCCTTAGCCGGCTCAGGATGGTGTGTAAGATCAGACTCCTCTGGTAGTCGTCGTCAGAAATGAAGGACGCTACAGGTGAGGTTCAAGGTGCTGGCTTCTATGGTGCATGGTTTCGGTGCGTCAGATTTGGAGCAGCAATGCAGCTGTTGGATCGTAGGCAGTGGGGCAGGCAGAGTATGGCCCATGAGAAGACATCCAGGACTGTCACGTCGCCTTGCTCTCCATAACGGCTATGAGCGAAGGCGTGACCTTGACAGCTGCCGAGGCATCTGTGCTATTTATATCTATCATATCATGCATATCACGTAAAGATTTGCTTCCATCTGGTCCCGTAGAAGAGAGTCAATTGGCAATCCTGATTTGCAGTCCGGGAATCTCAAGACCAACCTATCAGGACCCAGGTGGAAGACAGACTGCAAGTTTACAAGCAGCATTTCTTCAGTCGGACAAGCATGTAATGAATTCTGGCAAGAGCCTTTCCAAAACTCGCCCGGTGCAAGCAGCTTGTTTTACAGACTGATTGCGTCATGCGCGCCAAAACTGTTCCATGCGTCAGGGGATATATTGTGTTCAGGGTTTTGGTTCCTGTGCGTCAGGTGAATTGCCACAGCACGAATTACCCCTGTTCCGAGGCAGTGGTCTTTGCGGAGCTCCAGTGGACCCCAGGCCACTGCCATCTTTGTTTTCGCCGAATTTGTCATGCCAAATCTGTAGAATTGGGGCTTCAGGCATTATTGTCCAGTGCGAAGCTCGCGCACATAGACTTGGGCAGACGCTGGGCAGCACAAAAGCCCACCGGGCCATATCAACAGTGAGGCTGTTTTTGATGTTGAAAAGTCTTTGCTCAAGTTGCATCAGAGCATGAGGCTTTCGAATGCAGCCCGCAGGCTTGCTGGACGAGATGTGTAGTTCATGTGGAGCATGCGGCCACAGAGTGTCCAACAGATCAGCAAACCAAAGACCAAGACCGAGGAAGAACTGCGTCCTCATCCAGTATTTGTTGCTGGAGGAATCTGCAACGGATGCCCGATGTTACAAGCGCCTGGAGGAGATCATTTCTCTTTGTTGCACCTGCATCTGAGCGTGGCACATGGTTGGAATACCTCATTGAATGGACATTCCAGCAAGTTCGCAAGGCGCTTGCTATGATTGCCTTTTGCACCGTCTGTCCTCAGGAGAAGCACCGACACGCTGGCATGGTGTTGGATGGAGGGGTTGCGGAGCTGTGGCAGGCGAGCTGTTGCAGAGTTTTGCAAGGAGGGCCATTTTGCTGACTACATGAGATAAGGGCGTTGTTAGTTGTTAGGAGATGCAAGGACATGTCAGGACCAGACTTGCAGGCCGCATCCACATGATTTCATCTCTTGAGCCTGTGATAATGTCATGGTGCCTGCGAGAGTTTCACTGCACTTCACGCGTTGTGCGTGACCTGTCTAGAGCAAAGTACGGCTAGGCATGGTTTTACCATGTTTTTGCCACTCAGGAAGGCAACCGTAAAAGTAAGAACAATCAAGGCTCGATACTATCGTATCATCAGTTTATGTCATCAGCACCCTGAGATTCAGCACTAATACGGGGGAGCTGAGGGAACTGGACGGGAAGACTTCCTCACAGCTTCTGTGCAAGGAGGATCACATCTTCTCCCAGCAGGGTCAGGAGACGTGGCCTTTGCTCGTTTCACAACTGGAAGTATGGGCTCCTTCAACTACCAAACTTTGCTTAAGTTTAGTGTTAGATTAGGTCGTGCTTTGGGTCACCGAGGATGATGATGGGTTTAGAAGTTCTTTAGTCATGCAGCAAGCTGCTGGCAGTTGTAACTCACATGCAAGTGCAATGAGGGTGCGGATAGTGGCCTGAGTTTCGATGGCTCACCGTACCGCTCCCTGTTCACTCCCTCGTTCTTCGGGTCATGAGTTGAGCTGAAGCGAGCGGCTAATTCTGAACCCCTTGCAGGAGGAGGCATGTCGGAATGGTCGCACTGCTAAAGTGGCCTGGTGAGCAATTGGGACTGGAGATTAGAGGCAGGCCTTGCAGGCTCTATTCTACTACGGAGTCATGCAATCTGAAGTCTATAGAAATTAACTTGCCAGGGTGCATGGGTGTGCTCGTCTCTTTGCCCTCTTTCGGGTGAGTGGTTCTGGATCCTTTGCAGACTTCCTCTGTAGCAAACCGGGGTGCAGCTTCGGACCCGTGGTTTTCCCCTCCCTGCAGTTGTGTGGTCCTTGCATGTCCTCGCTGGCAGTGAAGGGTGCAGGAGAAAAGCGCACAAAGACGGGCAAAGCCGGAGGCCTGGAGCCTGGTTGGCGTGTCGATGGCTGAACAGCCAATCTGAGGGAGATTCCCCAGTTTTGAATTAAAAAACCATCAGGATTCACGACGGTGCGGAAGAAGCATTCTATCACCAGAACTTTGCAGATTTTTGCAATCTCTAGCATTCACAAGCCAAAAACCATAGTCGCGCAGAATGCTTTGCCATGAGTCGATGAGTTCATAGCTCCGAGCTTCTACAAAGTTGACCAAAGCAAAGCATTCGTCCTAACTTCGACGACCGCCGAGCCTAGAATTTCAAGGATTTTCAGAGTGATCTCATGGCCTAGAGGGCCTAGAACCTGCGCAGGTACACCTGGTCTTGTACCAAAAAATCAACACATATCATTTCAGCTTCTACCATGTTACAAGTCGGTGTGGGTTTTTACATTATTCTAGGCCTTTCGTGCCAGGCGCGAAAAAAGGCGGCCAAAAGGGGGAGCAGGAGCAGCTGCAGCAGCTGCAGCTCCTTGGCCAGGGGGCGGTATCATTCTGGATCTCTCTCAAAGGCAGAAGGTCAGAACAATGAGGGCAGAGGTCTTTATCTGAGAAGTTGCAGGGATGTTGGGATACGACAGCCAAGGGTAATACCCTTTTCATGAGTGCAGCGAGAACAACTCATTCATCATGACGGCTTTCTTACTGCAAGAGCTCGTCAGAATTGAACCCGATTGGGGACCCAAAGTTCCAGTGCAGAAGCTTTTTGGCCGAGGAAGCGACCTGCATCTGCCATGCCTGCGGCTGGGTCAGCTGGAACAGAGCGATACATTGTCGTGGAGCCTTTGCACCTAGGTGCAGCGGCGGGGGAGTGGTAGGTCCAAGACGTGGAAGCATTGTTCATGTGCGCGCAGTGATTTTCTCACTTGTTCGTTCCTTAGAAGCTTCCATCGAAGCAGAGCATCAAGACGGGCATGGTCCACAGCCAGCTGATGCACCTTGACAGGCCTCAACCTGAAACTGGGCCGGGCCTACACGAAGCAGGACTGGGCCCAGCGCTTCATTTACCCAAACTGTTCGGGCACTTGGCCATGCTTTCACCTGACGGAGATGTTGTGTGACCTCTCGAATTTGCTGTTTGCATGAGAGAAATAGAAATTCTTTTCGACTGTTCCAACGCGAAAAACTTGACGCGTCAGTCTTCTAAGCCGAAGTTTTGCAGGACCTTGAAGCTCGCTGCAAAGGTGACGGGCAGAAGTTGCAACGGCCGCTTGGTAGAAGCCAGTCAGGCGGGTCAAGTGTCAGTCATGCAGAGAGGAGGCATTGAATTGCGGGACTCCACCTTACAGAGGGTTAGGATAGCTGGGCTTGGGCTTTGCATGGCTTCAAAGGGGACGTCAATCAGTTGCGGATGCGAATGTGTTTACTTTGCCTGTAGGTTTCGACATGGTTGCTGTGCTGCATGTCACTCCGCCTGCGTGAATTACAACACACTTAACACACACTTGTCCTTGTGAAATTGCTGCAGACATGTCCTCCGTGATCTTCGCACGTGGATGCCATGGCATGGCATCCAACGTGTGGAATCATCAAGCTGCTGGCCCAACCTCTGAAGGCCTCGCTTTGTTATCCCCAGGCTGGCGTTCTACATGTCGGAGGGTACGAAGCTGCCTGTCGATCTTTTAGTCATGATGGTTCTGAACGGGTGAGGATAGGTGACCGGCTTGTCAATAAGTACAGGAGCTCTACGAATCGCGATGCGGTTTTGGGCAGTTTCGGCCTGGCTTTGGTGGAAACATGTTTGGAAGCATTTCTGTCATAAAGTGCTGCTGCAAGTACTGGGACCCAAGTTGTTGACGTTCTCTTCATCCGCTAAGAGTGTTTGCCGTTCGCGCTGTCAGCAGTAGCAGAGCGTTTCTTGCAGTTAGCAGGTCGACTGTCAGGTGATTCAGGTGATTCAGGCACCGGCCACATTGCAAGCGGTATTGCTTGGCGTTTCTAGAGCGAGACCCCGTGCACATTGCGTGCTGGTTTTGGTCTCGATCAAGGCTGAAGCCTGACATGCTGCCTGCCGCTGGCCTGACCTCTCCAATAAGGCCACGGACGATGTGAGATTTCAGAGTGAGCCATGCTTTGGGTGACTCTAAAGTCAAGCCGGCACCTTTGGCTCATTTCGTGTTGGGATCAGCAGCCACATGTTAAGGCAATGTCCAAATGCAATCGCGCAGGCCGCTGCATCGGTCTTGCCCAACTCCAGAACCTGGACAACCACAGAAGCGGCAGAAGCAGCAGCGTCGGCCAATAGCCAAGTAGAAAGACCTCCCTGAACCTGAGGCCCTGTGTGGGTTTATGGGTTCAGGGACGAAGTGCTCACTCACTTCTAGTGCAGAGGTGGAGGTGCAGCACCGTCTCAACGTTTCACGCGTTATGCCATCGCAGCGGCACGTCAGTCCAAAGAGCAATGACCACCAGTCTCCGCTCCAAGAGAGTTTCGGCTGTTTTGCTGTACCAAGATCTTCATCCCCTCATCCTCTGGGCGGAGACAGGTGTGAGCAGAGTGACTGTCCGCAGCGCGCACATCAAAAGGATATAGAAGGCCGCTTCTTAACTTACTCACGAAAGTCTGAAGATGATTCCATAGGAAATAACAAGGTCCGTCAGCAAAACAGCCCAATGTGCAGGTCATGAGGTATGTGCACGAAGGGCCGGCAAGGCGGCTCACATACGTTTCTGCTTTCTACGATATCAGTCGCTCCCAGTAATTTGCGTAGGCATCTCCATGTATCCACGTTCAATGAACCATAAGGCCATAAGAACCCATAGAGCTCTGAGCCCGATTACTCCTATGATAGCTTTGAATACCCTTGCAGCAGTCCATAGCAGCCCAGGCTGGTGACCTTGCAGGAGCCTACCTCCGTGGCTGCTGGGTTCACACCTTTCATCAGCGCAGGGCTCAGCTGAACCTTCAGTTGGCTAGGGGATCTGCACCACAATCTCAATCTAGAGTCATCCATTCAAGATGTGTGCGGACAGACGTTTAGTCCGCTGGTCGTTTTGCAAGACTGGAAGCCTCCAAGTACTGCCACGATAAGGTAAACGCCTCACGCAACACATCCACTAATCAATCTTGAGTCACGTCAGCTGCCTTCGTAGGTTTTGTTTCTAACCCAGTCACACATGTAGCTGGAGCAGGTTTGAAGCACACAGACAAGGTTGTTTTGTTGACCTTTCCAGTTTCAGAGGCAAATGCCTCCTGTAGTCCTATGCAATTGGCAATTTTTTGTGGATGATTGAATACCATAAGCTTCGCCTGTGCAAAGGCACAATCAGCACTGTGAGACACGAGGCAGGCAGGCTGTGTCGGCATTTCCAGGTTGTGGTGGAACTGCTCCCTCTTTTTGGTTGTCTAGGGTCAGGCAACTGCTCGCAGCCTCAGAACAAAGACACTGGAATTTTGATGCAATTGGCATCAGGCTTTGATACAATGCCTGTTGACGCTTCCCGTTTGAGCATCCAAGCATGTTATACAACGTCTTTGTGTATTTCAGGCCTTCTGGCATGGGAAACGCATGTCTTGGCTGAATCACTGAACGATGTAGCACGTCTCTATGTTGACAATTCAATTTCTGCTCAAAGAGCTCTTACTAATGGAGTTTAGAAGGGTGAAGTTCATGCTTCGCGAGAGACAGCTTGACACTCAAGTGACTACTGTAGCTCGTGATTTTGACTGGCCGGGTGGCGCTCCCATCGTAAAGTTGTCCCACCTGCACCTCCTTCGATGTGCAGGCCACGGAACTGCCTCACGGTCCGGCTGGGTAAAGGGCTTGTCAGGCTAAAAACTTGATGTTCAGATTCCAGAGTTTAGACTTCGCAGTCTGGGATTGAAGTGAGGGTTTTGGTTCAGAGTTGTGGCCTAGCTCCCTTTCGACGATGTGTGCACATGTCATGTCTGATCGGCATCGCAGGGAAATGCGTGGAGGATTCTGGCCGGGATTTGTCAAAATTCAGTTCATGATCGAAAGTGTGCAGATTCGTTAGCAAGATGAATCTGAGTAGCAGCTATTCATTGCTTGGGTTTTGGCATTCAAGCAGGAGACGAAGCTAATCAACAAGGTAGACAATGTAATGGTCCCAGCTTGCGCTAGGACACAGGCTGTTCACCTTCGTTGGCGGTGAGAAAGGCCTGGAGCACATTGGCGCACACACGCGAAGACACTAGGTAGTCGGTACGAAGCTTCGTGAAGGAAGGTGTATTGATAAAAGATTGCAACAGAAGGTAAGCGTTTTTCGGCACAATTCATCAGGCTCTCTGAAGCGCAGTGGTTCCCCCTGCTCTTGTCCAGCCTCTGCAGCTTGAATTTTTGATCTGACTCGCGACGGTTCCTACCTCACTCGATCATGTAGTCACTTAGCACAACAGCGAGATGCAGCGAGTGCGAAGAACACATGCATGTCACGTGCTAAGTTTATACCCGCGTCATGAATCGATCGGCGATACTCAGTTCATGTCACTCTAAGAAATTTCTAGTAAGACGGTGGCAAAAATCTTCAGAGATGGGCCCACGGTAACCTCAACTACCAGATCATCATGCGGCTGGATTGCCAGGGGCCAAAGGTCAAGGGAAGGTGTGCGCGGTCGAGACCTCAGTTTAGGCTGTGGACACCTCTGCTGTGGATTCCAAACCACAAACTTCAGCGACTGCAGAAGTTTTGCGTATTCAACTTGTATGGCGGTGAAATCGCTAGTTCTCAGTCGGTTTTAAGAAAAAAGATCCAGCTGGCCCACTTCGAACAAAGTAGGCGCACCTCAGCAGCATTGCAAGCAAGCAGGAAAATGAAGTGCTTCCTTTTAATGAGCTAGGAGAGATAGCTGCAGAGAGACTCAGGCCTCGCAGTTGTGGAAGCCTGAACCCTGAAGCATGACAGCAAACAAAGCCTGCAGCCTCGAGCTGCAGCTTCAAAGCCTTCAGAGGTGGGGTCCACCATGCTGCCAGAAAACTGCCAGGACCGAGAAATATTAGGTGGGTTGCAGTTGGCAAGCTTCTTCTTTCTCAGTTGCCCGCAGGCATTAAATTGTGCAATTGCGGATGGAGTTCGCAGATCATTTTGGGCCTGCATGGATGGGACCTTTGAAGAATTTGAGCCTGACTTTCAATTCCGCCCGCGCTGTGCAGCTTAGTCCCACACAAAAGGATCAGGGCATGGAAGTAGCAGTTGATGAGATCCAACTCAGAACTGATGAAGCCAACTGAGACATTATGGGCAGCACTCAAGCAACTTGAGGCTGCTGCTTCCAAACAAATATAGGGAGTTCTTTTCGCATAGAAGTTGTGGCATTGAAAACCGGTCTTGAGGCAGTCAGGCACCTACTCTGGCCTCGCCATCGTTGATGTTCAAGCGATGTAGTATCAGGTCAACTTGTGCCGAGCAAGCACCATGCGTTCCTACGTTTTACGTTCTGAAGGAAGCATTTTCCACTAAGTCGTGCCGGGCACACGTTCCGAAGTCACTTGCTGAACACACGTTTTGCGTTCTGCGTACCGAGTGCGCTAAGCTCAAGTCACGCTGTTGCCTGTGGTAATGCTACCGTAATGCTGTCAGGACGTGGGCACCACATCCAAGGAGGCCGAAGGAGGGAGGAGTGGCAGGGAGGGATGAGTGAGGGTTGTTCTAAGGGTTTTTCTCTTTGGCGATTCTCGGCCGACCATTCGAGATGGTTAAAGGGTTTGGGAAAGAGTTTGGGAAAGATCCGCCAAGTCATTCTGTAAAGGAAGGCCCATTTGCGAGCAACTTCCACGACAAGAAGTATCATACAGTCATCTGTCAAGGCTAAGCCCTTTTTCATTCTCAGTAAAGGGTCCTGGCCCTGTACTGCCTCAACCCTTCTGATCTATGACAACTTGAACCGGATAGGAGTCCACGAGCCCAAATGTAGACACGCGACAAGTAATTCGCGATTAAACGCGTCACACACTATTCTGAGTCTGCTCCACTCTCCATTCCACCTTCAACTTCACTTTTTCACTTTCCACTCTGCTTTCCACTCCTGACGCGAGGGGCCAAAAGCGATAACAGTTGCAAGGATGGCGACCTCCAGGGCACCCATCGCTATATTCCCTATGACAGCTGACACCTTTACTCTTGGCCCGCAACGAAGACACGAGGGTCCAAAAGCAACTGCAGTTACCAGGATGGCGAGGTTCAGGGGATTTTCAGACCTCTAGCCGTGGCATATGCAGACGCTGGGCGAACGTTTCACGACCGCTTGGAGAACACGCGCGCAACGACTTGGTCACCTCCCGGACCCCTGGATCCCAACGCTTAAGAACGGGAGCCCTTCTGCAGAGCATTCGGTAAAAGAGTGGTAAAATGAAAGACTATCACCCGAGAGCATACGTATTCTCAAAGGTTGTAGGTGATCGTTGATAGAATTTTGTAGGGGAGACATAAACCCGCCCAGTGGTGTACCGTTTGACCCAGGCAATCCTGGGTAGTTAGAGTGGCCCTGGAGGCCCCAACTTGAGGCAGTAACTCCATATTCTTAAGCTTTTGCCGAACGTTCTTGCCGGATATGTGTGGATGGACGTCGGCATGTATTTGTCGACATGTTTCTCTTTTTGCTGATCGCATGTTTCGATGTTTGGGAATTCGAGTCACCTTGTAAGCAGCAACTAGGAAGCTGACCCCCTTTCAGAAGCACTTGATCTGTATGTTCTCAGCACAGAACTTGGCATTACACAGGTGCTCGGAGTGTCCTCAACGCTGCTGTCAGACAACCGCGTCTTCCTCCTCACCACAACCGTCCGGCACTTACCCTTTCCTGGGTCGAGGTGAACCAGTACGACATAGAGGGTGTTTGTAGCGTCATTGCGTGCGCTACTTTCCAATGCATGTTCCAACATATTGTCTCTGCCATCCGCAAGCCATCGTTCTTAGCTCTGGACTAAGGCCCGGGGCGAGCCTTACTATGCGCTTATTGGCCTGTGAGATATCACGCGCAAGCAGGAGCAGGCAAGCATTAGGCAGTGCAGGGACTACATGTGGGTCACTATTCGAGGGTCCTGAGTCCTGACGGTGTAGCCTAAGTGAGAATTTTCACGTTTTGGATTGACCAGTCCCGGAACCCGCTGAAGCCTCAAAGATTGAAACACATTAGTGCATACTGGAGCGAGCACTTCGTACCCAAACATTTGGGGCTTAGGCGACGAGTGTAGGTGAACGTGGGTGAGCTCTGAGGTTTCCAGCCGCCATTCTCCGGAATGCATTGCACACCTGTAAGTCTCTAGTAGACACCCGTGTTTGCACTTCGGACACAAGTAGCCTAACCCACGCACAACTAGTAACCACTATTTGTGAAAGCCTTGTGCCAGACTGCCCCATGTATTGATGCACAAGTATGACATCACTAAACATGTTTTCTCACTCTTGGATGCGCCGGAGATCGGTTTCGACGCACCTAGGATGTTGAGCTTGCGGAAGTCCGACTACAAAGATAGTGCTATGCGGCCGAAAACATGTTCCCGCGCAGCCCTGCTCCTGAGCGAACGTTGCCAAACAAGGCTCGTCAAGCAGCCGTTTCACTCGGGCATCCGCCCGAACTCCATGTTGTCACAATGGAAGTAGGCATGTCTTGTATTTTCTTTACGAGATCATGAAGGCAGCACGATCAGCTCATGCATATTACAAATGCTGCCAACACAAACACTGCCGCATGTCGTAATGATCTTGTTTGAAGCCATCACTGTAAAGCTAATGCCTTTTGTTTCCTGCGCAATTAAATAGGGTGGCCAAAGCGTGTTTCCTGGCTTTCCAGGCTTTCCAAGCAGTGACTGGATGTGCATCCTCAGCGGCGAGCTGCGGATAGAAATCGGTTGCTCAAGCATGCTAAGCCGCAGGGCTAGGACCTGAATGCAGTATGGGGGGTTGCTGGGATTGCGCACGAGCTAAGGGCAATGTTGCCAAAGCATCAAACAGAATCCACTGGTATTGTCAGCACCTGCCTGGCTATCCAACGCACAAAATCCATCTGGGGGTCTGTAAAGGAGGGCTTTCCTGGTCCATGATGGCACTTGCCTGTACTCGATAGACATGGATGGGTACGAAATGGGACATGCATGATATTTAGGAGGCAATCCAGGAGCATCATTGTGACAAAGATGCGAACAGCGTTTCCCTGGCCTGCTTATGTGATCTCGAGCGAAGTGATGCTGGTGCGTGTTGTTTGAGTCTAGGATTCGGCACTTCTAAAACTTGACTTGGAAGGCTTAGTTCCAGCTGCCAATCATCCTTGCGCTTTATTGAAGACCGCCTCCTCCTCGAAGCCTTCTTATGCCGTTTCCTCTTCATGTTCACAAGTGGTCTGCGCTGCATGCCCTGCATCGTAGCATGTCACCCAGCTTGGCTCGTTTTCCGCAGACCTGTGGGTTTCAAGTTCTAAAGCAATCGTTGTGTTCGTAGTTCTCAGTGCCAAGAGTATCCGAGTCTTGTGTGGATGTAATTTAGTCTGAGCATGAAACAAGCCGAAGTCGGGATGTAGGCTGCGCTAATCGACAGCAAAGCTAGCCTCTTTCTGGTTAAAGTTTTCCTGTTTTCAATGGGCCGTCAGGCCGAGCTATGCACGCTGCAGCCCTGGACGCATGATTCGTTTATCTGTTTTCTCCGGGCTCCTGTACAGCGCCCAACTCGAAGTGAACGAGACACCCAGCGTCGATGGCATCGTGCACGAGTTGCAGGACGAGGCCCTGCAAGGACTGGAGCCTTCCGCCCTGCGCCGCGCATACAAGCCTTTGCTGCTCTTTAGCGCAGGGCTCGTGGCTTATGCACAGCGTCGTGGGCCTTCCGCTCGTGAGTCTCGAAATACTACAGGCACTTCTTCAAGCCAAGCTGCAGATGTAGCGGACACATCCTCCGAGGACACCAATCCGCACCCTCAGGCAGAGAGCCCGAGGATGATCACACCATGCAAAGAGGCGCCCAACACGCCGAGCACGCCAAGCACGTCCAGCACAAACTCTCCGCAGAAAGGCAACTCTGAGCTTCTCTAGCAGGTTTTGATAAGATCCCGTTACTGGCAGCAGGAACAAGGAGACCGAGTGTTTTTGCGCCACGTCCCCCACTAAGGCAAGGGCAAAGTTTCTGCGCCTCCAAAAGGGCTGGGCAAGGGGCCCGCCAAAGGCCCAGCTAAGGGCCCGCCCAGCGGCACGCCCAAGGGTAAGGCAGGGCCAAAAGGTGCCTGGGCAACTTGAGATTTGAAAGCTAAAGTTTCCAGAGCTCTCCGGCTTAATGAAGCCTACCTTGAATTGGCTGAGCAGTTGGGTTGCCATCCTTTGCTTCTTAAGCCAGCATTGAAAAGCGCAAGTGCAGTTTGCCGGATTATTTGGACAGCGTGTGCATGAGCTTCCCTTTGTTTTCGTACTCTTTGACGAAATGCTCTACGAACCTTTGCATGCACGCCCAGAGCGCTTTCTGAATCCAGAGAGAGACGAAGCACAGCGGCGGCCAAGGCAAAGGGACTCCCCCGAAGGGGGCTTTGGCATCGCAGTGTGTGGAGGATGTGGACGACGCCAGGGTGGTGAACCCGCTTCCCGGCTGACAAGTAATAATTATTGGTGGAGATACGTTTTTTGCTGTGATCCAGAAGATGGCATCATCGCATGTGCCTTGAGCAAATTATCGTGTTCTGTACTCACGCATGTGTCATGACAAAACAGTGCAACATGTCGGCTTAAAGCGCATGCAGCACGACAAACAGTTCACTCTCTTTTGCACGAAAGGCTGGCACATGTGCATCCCGTGGGTTCAGACCCAAAACTCTCAAGATAGGGGGCACCGGGCGGTAGCACCCCTCCGTGAACAAAAGTCTGAACCTACCCACTTTAAACACGATGCCGCTGTAGCACACCTTATGGCAGTGCCTGTGCCGCCTACACTAAAGTGAGAGAGTACCTGACCGAAACCTCCCTAAAGGAACCCTGCACGCGTTGGGATCTTTTTCCAGCAGGGGCACGGGTGAGGTCCTGGTCCTAGTGTCCTCGGGACCGACTGCGGTGCTCAGCACCACGGCCGGTGTCGGCCTGACGGCTGCTTTCAGCTGCCCGGCCGGTGTCGGCCTGCGTCTCGGACGCTCTCTGTGCAACAAGGTCGGCAAGGTGTTCCATTGTCACCGCCCGGCTGTACTCCTCCGGGGTAGGTTCGAAACCCTCACGCGCCAACCCATGCAGACGATTCATCACCGCTCTGCGGTGAAACTTCCCCTGAGATTGCATCCCAGGTCCTTTGGACACTTTAAATATGACCGGTGGCGGTCCCGCTGCAGCCTGTTTTGCGGAGGCACGCATACGGGATTTATGCCTCCGGAAAGCCTCGTGTTTCGTGGCACCTCGTTGGAGGTCCTCATGGTACTTGGGATCAGCGTCAGCCGTGAAACGCGAGGGCTTTCCGTGGGAGGGGTTAGAATGCTGCCGGTTTTCAAACTGGCGCCAGACCCGGAACTCTGCATCCTCTCTTTCGAGACGTGCAGTTTCCTCGGCCGAAAGGAAAGAGGAACCACTAGGGTGCTCTGGGGTGCCGTGGCCTTCGGCCGGTGGCGGCCAGGGTCGCTCTCAGTACCCTTCCGAGGAGGGGGGTAAAAAGTCTTAGGGCCTGGGTTCTCCCTCAGTACCTCATCCAGAGAACGAGGAACTTGTCCGCCTTGGCCGCCGTCGCCCTCCGGGACCTCCGTGCCACAGCTTGCCGCCAGTCGGCGCTTCGGGCGCCCTTGGTGCAGTCGTAGACGTCGAGGTGGGCGCCTCCGGGGCCGCAGAGGTTGTGGAGGATGAAACCGCCACGTTCGGCGGAGGTGGTCATACAAGACGGGAGGCCCTTTGCGCAGGGGCCGGTGATTCGGCCGCGGCGGGTCCACCCCCCTTTTCGGCGGGGTCTTCGGTGCCTCTGCGTGGCGTTGACCCCAACCTACCTCTCATCGACCGGTGCCGGACCTCCTCTGAGGTGTCCTCGGAGCTTCTTCTGGGTCTGTTGGTGAGGTAGGCGAAAGGATCACCTGCTCTTCGACGCCAGGTGGGCCATCGCCAGCTCCAGGACTTGTGGCTGATGGCAGCCCCTGCTTTCCCTCCGTATCTGCCCTCAGCGTGGGACGTGTTTCAGGGCAAAGATGTTCTGGGCTTGTCCGGGCGCCCAGTCCAGTAGGGGAGCAAGCGGCTCCAGGCCACCTTGGTCCTCCATAAGGGCGGTGGCTTCCGCGAAAAGCGTGGGACGAGCACGCTTTTTGGAGAAATGCCGACATTGCCCCACCCTCATCAAAGGGTTTCGGATCTGGCTGAGTTGCAACACCAAGATATTGTGCAGCAGGGCTCCAGAGCTGGAGACCATCTTGGGGTTTGCTAGGGCCAGGTGGAGGCCGCCTGCGCTTGCTTCGGCTGCCTGTGTGCTGTGTGGGCGGAGGGCCCAGTGGCGGGCTTGTAGGGCCTCTGCCCTGCCCCTGCCACTGTGGGGGGACTTTTTTGCTGCCTGCCTGCAGCCTCTGGACTCATCACACCAGCTTCTGTTCCCCGCCCCTGTAGGCTGGTTGCATCGGTTGCAGAGGCGGTCGCCGGCGATGGAGGGCCGGCTCGAGGACGAGGAAGAGGTCGAGGGCCTAGGAGGTGTGGAGTCCAAGTAGGTGGCCTCCTGAAGGGGCGCTTCCTCCTCTGACTCTTCACTGCTCTCGGCCCCTCACAAGGTCATTGTAGATGGCACGAGAGACCGTGCTGCGAAGGCATGTCCCTCGCCACCCGATGTTCTTGAACGCCTCCTCCGCCTTCTTCTGGTCGGCCTTCGGCTTTGTGCCCCACTTGTCCGGGTGCCACTCCAAGCATTTTCGCTGGTAGGCCTTCTCGACTTTGGTGGGAGTTGACTCCCTGGTGACGCCAAGCAGCTTGTACGCGTCCTTGCCCTCCTTGATCAAGGTCTTCATCTGAACCGTGGTGACCGTGCGGGCTGCTTTCGCCTCCGCCATGGCTCGAGTCCCGGATGGCCTCCCGCGGGAGGGTCGCCTCCGCACCGAGTTCCTAAGGCGCTACCGAAGCGGCCGGATTCTTCTCTGTCGGGGCTGCGATCCGTAGAGGCCAAAATGAGCATGTCCGACGCTCTACCCTTGCCAGCAGCATGATCAGCATACAGATAGGCATGAACAGCATCCGATTTCCAACCCCCAAATCTCTTTACCTGCTCCAAATCATCAGTGCAAGCAAGCATGGCCGTAGCCCCTCCCTTCCTAAGACTGTGCGAACCCACCAAGTGAGAGGGGTATCCCTCAGCTACAGCTGCAAGACGAAGGAGATCGGATACCTGATCCCTGGTAACTCCCAAACCTTGGTACTGAAAAACGACAGCCGAAGGGTCAGAGACCCAAATTGGGTTTTGACGGGCATGGTCTTGAAGAGCCTTTACAGGGCAAATGTCCAGCCCGGTAGCATGGTGCGAACGCGTTTGGCCCCGTTGAAATTGGTCGTTTTTGGCCTCACGGAGCTGAGTTGAGACCTCATCAGCGTCCCGGAAGTCGGACAGTTGACCACCCTTGTAAAACAGCACGTCACATCTACGAGAGCCGTGAAGAGGGTTAGGGGGGGAAGGTATTCAGACGCCCTAAGCATGAAGAACCAGCCGGTACAAACTGCCCCCCAGAAAGCTTGAGCTTCCGACGAACCCACCCTAACATGGAAGGGGTAACAGGCACTTTCCGGACTGGGGCGTTTTCCCACCTGGCAAGCCCTTGAAGGCTTGCCCAAAGCCTGACGCGGCCCTGCAATGGGTCTGGAAATCCGGCTGCGATGTGAGCGTACAGGTGTGAGGCTGAAGGAACCACGCGCACATGTGCATCGGGACAATCCGAGCACCAGTTTTTTTCGCAGCCGCAGGTCCCAGATTTTGGGATATTGCCCCGTGGGCGCGCTACTCTCAAAGCCAAAGAGGCGCCCAGCGCGGTGAAGCTCGAGGCACAGCTCGCTGGCAAACTCGGCGAACTCGTTGCCCTGGACCTCGTCAGCGCGACTACCATCGCCTTCCGGGCGGAGCGAAGTTCGTGTCCCCCCATTAAGCCGCTGGTAATCACAGTAGGTGGTGCACGGAGTGCGTTGGGTACGTCAGCATTGGGCGCAGCACAAGCCTTCTCGAGCAAAGCAGCACGGATGGTGGTGGATATCATGCTCAGGGCGGGGCCCGGTCAGCTGCAACGGGTCCTCGTAGTACTCGATAGGGGAGGCGAAGCATCCCACTCGTCCATCCACCCCAACCAGCGAACACCTCCTGGATGTAGATGCCATTAGCAAACTGCAGGATCCCAGAATACCTCACTAGTTGGGAGACCCACTTTGTACTGGGTCTGGGGCCGATGGCGCCGGATGCATGGAGAGGGCTTGGAGGAGAGAAACTCTCCCAACGACTCCATGGACCATCTGCTTGGACCTCCCGCACCAATTCTCCGGATGCTTCCAAAGCTTGGAGTAGCTCCTGATTGGCAGCTGCGGGGACCTGAACATGCCGCATGTGACCACGATGTATCAAGACGGTCCCGTATCGGGTGGTGGCGCCCTGGCCACGAACCACGTCGCCCTCAAGGCGCCCTGACTGAGAAAGACGCAGCGCCAAAAGCTGAGCGCCCCGCATAAACTGGGGAGCGAATAGTGCTAGTAGGCGATAATCCTTCTCATGATGTGGGTAATAGGCATCATGCGCGTTGTGCCGGATAAAGGCCTCAGCTTCACTAACATAGGGGGGAGCATCCCCTAAGTGACCGAAGGCATTAACCGCCTCCTTCAGCATCTCCAGCCTAAGACGGACAGCTGCCGTGCCGCGAGACTCATCTGGCTCAGCCAATGCAGCCCCTGCATGCAGTGCCAGACATTGTCTGGTTTCGACAGTAATCGGTTCATGGAACCAGTCTGTGTCCGGCAAATCCAGCTGATCCCTATAATCAAGAAATGGGACAGACCCTGCTCCGGCTCCTGACGCCCTGCCTTATCACTAAGGGAGTTGTACGACGTCAAGGCAGAGTGTGCCTCCTCGGCAAGCTGGGGGTGCCCATGATCAACTGCATTCCGGAAGATGTCCTCCACTGACAGATTCATATCGCCTGAAAGCCGAGCATTGACCAGGCGAGAGGCCACGTAAAATCTGAGATACGACGATTTGTCGTTCACAGCATCCAGCTCTCCTCCGTCCTGCAAAGCTTCGTAGCAGGCGGTACGCTTGCTGGGCTCATCCCCCGCCAAGGGGCGAGTGTCCACGAACTGTGCGGCCCGGAAAGCCTCAGGTCCGAGAGCCAATTCGCCCAAGTCCTGCTCCATCGAAGTCACCGCGCCAGAGTCATCAGGAACAAGCCACCCGGCCTTGCCTTTGCTTTGGCCTTGGCTTTGGCCTTGCCCTCGGCAGCCTTTTCTGTGACCTCTGCCTTATGCTGGGCTCGTAGCTGGGCGACCTGCGTCGCGACGGAGTAATCCAGCTTCTGCGTAGGAGGTAGGGGCTCGTGACTATGAGGACAGGACTGCCGAAGACACCGGGGGTCAGGGCCAGGGGGTGTCGGTGAGTGCAAGTCTGGGAGCAGCACCTGTTTTCGGGTCGGTGTCGGGAGGTGTCTCCCCTTGCGTTCCTGCAGTTTTGCGGTTGCCTTCCCTTTTCTCTTTGGTGGTGGCGTCATGAAGCTGACGGTGGAGCAACCTGTTCAGGGCCCTTTCCTGCCTCGGGACGACAACCTGTTGGAAGTATCCGGCGGGGTCCTTGAGATCCCACACTCTCGGGAAACGAAAGTTTGGAAACCCCTCGGGTCCGGGCGCCAGCGCAATGAGCTTAAGGTCTTCCATGCGGGGATTCTCTATTCCAAGTTTCGCGCAGAGGGTCCTTCGTGACTCCCGTACCTGCTCAACCCAAACAGCGTTCAACTCTTCAAAGAGTTTAATGCAATAAGTGGTTGGATAAGCATGTTCGTCCTCTTCATGTGCCTCCTGCAACGCTTTCAGAAAGGCCAACCGTTCTGACATGTGTTCGATCCCGTACACCGCCCCAAACACCCGGGTGTGGTTCTCGGCGTAACGCAACCAGGTCAGAAAAGAGGCGGGCGGCTTAGATCGCCCCTCGATTTTGTGTTCGGTCGGTGGCGACCAAAGTTCTATCTGATCAGCTCTGACGGTTTGGCAGTCGGATGCGAGGAGTGTGAACGTTTCATCCCCACCCCACCAAAGGCCGGAGACGGCCAACGCCAGGCGATTCGTGATAAGAACCGGCCATTTCAAAAGCAACAGTTCATGCTTGGCATGATGCCCAACCCTTTTCAGCGAGGGGAACAACTCTTTCTTATAGACTCCCTCACATACCTCCACGGTAAGCTGGCCGCAACCCCTCGCAAGAAAGACATCGAGCTTTTCCCCCTCCTTAATGGAAGTAAGAGTAGCCTTGGTGCCCGTACGGTCCTCGTCTTGTGTCTTGCGGAGACCGTGCAAAGCATGGATGATGCGGTCTGTCGCCAGAGAGGCACTCTCCTGCCTTCCCGTGGCCGCCCAAACTCTCGGTGAATGCGGCTCCTGCTTTGCTGGGGAGGCCGGACCATAGTGCACCCCCGGAAGAGACGACCCTGTCCTGAGCACTTCCCCGAGTACGAAACAAAGAGGTGACCAGGGAATCTCGGGTCTGAGGTTTCGGGTCGTTGGGCTTGGTGGCGGTTGGGGGCGGCGAACCAGGGCTGAGGCGGTGGTACCGGTTGCGGATGGGTCCTGAGTCGCCAGGGTCGGGGGGGCCCTGAGAGGCGAGCTAAGCGGGAACCGGGGCTCGGCACTAAGGGGTTCAAAGGATTTATCCCGCTCTAGACATCGCATGATCGCGGCGCGTATCACATCTGGCTCCTGCTCATGGGCCGTAGCCAAGAGAGCGATGGCGCGCGCACCTTCTCTTAGCCCAGAGCTCAAGATCACTCGGGACGGAGTCGTCCGGCACCACCCGAAAGGAACATTCCCGTGAGGTCGGCCTTGGTGGTGTGGCGAAGTCCTCCTTGCCCGGGAGGAGCAACCGTCCTTCAGCATGAGAAAGTCGGCAAAGCTCTGGTTGCGTCATAAGCCTCCTCAGAAAGTCACCTTTAAGAGGAGGGAGCGCTGGTCCTTCGGGAGGGCTTACTGCGACTCTATTTCAGTCGTCCAGCCACCGTGAGAGTCAGGGATGTGCACGGCTTGCACCGACACCCTTGAGGCCTCCAGGTGCGGTTGGCGTTCAAATACTGTTTCAGCCAGCCACTGGGTAGGCGGTGTTCCCCCACACTCGCCCAAGGAACCGACAAGACCAGGGAGAGAGGATGCGCGCCCGCCCATTCCGGCGTCCATCGAAGGCGGGGCCTCGGCAGAACCCTTTGTAGATATACGCCACCCCCGTTCCAAAGAAAGGGCAGAGCCTGACCAGAACCATGCCCTCATGCTGAGGGCCTCGCCCGGAGCATCCGGTTCTACCTTGGCTCCCGAAGGCGGCGGTGTAGCAGCCCTTCGCCTCACCGTGCCGGCTTGATGTTCAAGGTCCGGCTCTTCGAAAGAAACGCGCCGATCAGCTAGCTCAGACGAGGTGCTGGCAGCAGGGAGGCTACTGGTGGCTACCCTCAGAGCCGAGGACAGAGACCCCTACCCTGTCTTCTAATTGGGGGTACGAGATCCCTTTGGCTGGGGTTTCGGGAGGCTTCGGTCAAATGGTTTGCAGAAGGGGCCCCTTAACAGCAGCGTAGCAGGACACCACACTGCATTTCCTTCCCTGGCAGGCAAGCATGTAAAGCTGACTGTGATGGCTACACAAAGAAGCGGTTTCCTTGCCACCCAAGTCGGAAAGTTGTTGGTCTGGCTCGAGGAGACGAGTGGGCTCAGGGGCAGCGCGGTCCTGACATCCTTCGGGAGCCAAGACGTGCTGCTTTCCTTGAAGGACAAGACCGATACGGTCCGCCTCACAGGAATTTAAAACAACTTCCGTCTCAGATTCAGAATCGGGGCCCAATGCCCTCAGTACACCTTGTTCCTGGATCTGCCGAGTCGTGCTTGGCCGAGAGGAAAGCGGGTGCCGACGAAGTGCTGTCCACAGGCCGGTGACGGCTGCCCAAGCGGCGTAAAGTGATCTCCGCACCAAAAGCAGTGACACGATCATACACTCCCAAGTCGACCAAGCTTCCGCATCCACTGCGGCGTAGGAGCAGCAATGAAGACCAAGGCCTCCTTGGCACTCCTCCACGACAAAGATGGAGTTGGTCCTCCCTTTCCACAAGCTCCCTGACCCAGCACCCAATACCCGACTGGGGTGCACCCACAAACCGTGCCGATCAATCCGTTCGCGGCGCTCTGGATCAAGCTGGAGCCGGGTGACACCAGCGTCCATGACCACCACCAAGTCATTTGGGGTTGGTGCCGCGTCCTCTTACCTCGCGCTGGTAAAACTCGGTATCCGCCGCCCTAACTCCCGCAGGGCCAGTCAACACCAATCGCTGGAATCCCTGGGTAACAGGGGTCTCGGGCAGGTCCACTGCGTGGGGCCGCTTGCAGCACCTTCGACACAGGCAACCCAGACAGCGACAACACCAAGTACGACTTACCAAGTGAAGGATTAGGAGCGCGACCATGACGAGGAGGAGCATTACCACCAAACAGCAACAAGTGGCCACAGTAGGCCACCAGTCACCAAACATCCATACGCCACAGGCGTCCACCAGGAAAAGTAGCCAGCCCCCATTCATGCTAAGGCTGCCTCCGGATCCCGGTGTGGAGAAGACACGATAGCTGCCACCCCAAGCGAGCAGGCGGAAGCCCCAGAAGAACCAGTTATCCGAGGATGTCGGCCCTCCTTGGGCGGTACCGCCCTGGGATGTGGAATTTTGCGCGGGCGAGGCACTCGCCACATTCCAAAACCTCCACCAAGATCGGTTGGCGAGAGGTGGGTGATCGCCACTTCGGGTGGTATCACCCTCTCCATCAGTGCCATTCGGGGCAGCGTGGTAGGAGAACGTCATATTGGCCCCTACATGAGGGGAGACGGGGACCCACCAACCCCAGCCCGCAGTCTGACCGATAACGGCCCACAGCACAACCAGCAA